TTTCCCTGGTGTTGAAGAGTTCCAATACTTGAGGGAACTGTGTGCTACATTTTAATGTCTATATTTGCTGTTGTACACTTCTTCTAAAACAAGTTCGCATGAACAAAACATCTAGAATATATGTTTAGTAATTTTTGTATATTTTTCTTTGAATTATACAAGAATTTTCATCAATTGATATCTTTTCAAAACCCCTGGTAATACATGCTGATTTTTTGTCTATGAACATCTGATGGTACTATAAGAATATCTTGAAAAATTCAGTAGGTAAGGTACGTTGCGTATGTCCTTAAATAAAAATTAAAAAGGAGTCTTCGTACATGCATAAATCAATAATCTTACTAATATATTCTCTGTGAAAGAATTTTACGGAATATTATTTTATTTGGACACAGAGTCGAATATTGCCTAAAACGTACAAGTTTTGTTCTTTACATTTCGTTCAGATATTATTCTGTTTAGTACTGCGCATGCCTCAATATATTGCGATAAGTGCCAAATTTCTCATACCTGTATCGGTTAAAAGAAGGAATAAACGTTTTTAAAAATGCTAACCCAATGTTTAATAATTGGGTGTTTTTGCATTTCAATTTCATTGGAACTAAATCTGACTAAAACAGGTTCAGATTCGGACGTTGCAGCTCTTCATCAAGAAATAAATACCTTAAAGCTGGAGTACAAGAAGATTCAAGCAGATGTAGAGGCATTGAGATCAGCTCTTGGTTAGTAAATCATTTAATTACATTTTCAACAGTGAAATATTGTGATTTATTAATTGAATAAAAAAGATATTCTCTCACAGTGTGGCAAAATATCAAAATGATATTCTGTCACTGTATTAAAATACAGATCTCTGCATAGCGCAAATGCGCTATGTAGAGATCTGTATTTCAATCAGATTGGTCACAGTGTAACAGAACTGAATATCAGAAGTGTGACAAAACTCCGATTTTCCTTCCCTTCACGAAGAATTTAGTTATAAAAGAATACTCCCTGGTCTGTACTAGTAATAAGAACTAGTAAATAAACCAACCTGACAGAGGATAAAAATGACAAGGTTACATCTATATCTTAATAATTGTTCAAACTTTAAGTGTCCCGACATGTCAGTATCGTGTTGCGTCCAACTTCACACTGTCAAACTCTTCAGATTTATCTGTCTTACCTTTAGCAATCGAGTATAATCTTGATAATCTTTGAGGCACCTTTATTTACTTTAAATAATTTGTTTCTGTTTAGATTCTTATTTAAAGCGCCTTTCTCTCTTGTTTGAGCGAATCTCAACGCTATCTAGATAAAATAAATTTTTATATTTCATTTTATTTTAGGTGCCGTTCAACCTGTTGCATTTACTGCTTGCTTAAGGCATGATATATCCCTTGGTGTTTCGCAGATCAGGTTGTCACCAATCTTGGAAATTCGTACGACTCACGTCATGGTATTTTAGAGCACCTGTCAAAGGTCTTTATCACATCTCGATGACGTCAATATCCAATGCAATTGCAATATATATTGAGATGGTTAAAGATGGTCAGCGATTAGTTCATACTTACAGTGGGAGCCATGATTATCTCTCGTCAACTTCTGAAGTAAATGTGGTTCTAGAGGCTGGAAATGACGTGTGGTGCCGCCATTACGGCGATAGTCAAGCAGTATTATTTAATGCCCAAGGCGGTCTTGGAACTTGTTTTTCAGGACATCTTGTAAAAGTTGTTGTCTAACATTTTTTTTAATTGAAATGTTTTCAAGATACTTTCTGCATGCTTCTTCTTTTTTCAAACATTTAGCTTTTATTTTTTAGTCATTTAAGGGCGATGTCTTGTAAATTTAGAATTTATCGCGTGACAGTAAATACAAAATTTACAACATGAAAACATGGAACGAAATCCCTTTAGGTCAGACGACACGTTCCTCAATAATCTATATTTTTTCCAAGAATTTGTTACTGAAGAATTGCTTCTTTAACAAGTTTCCTCACAAAAAATTGAGGTACCTTACCAGGCATTTGTGCAAGATACTAGAGAATGATATTTACTACATAATCCTAATGGAAATCTTTTGATTTGCCAATATCACATTTGTTGGGTGTCTTTATCTACTTAGACATTAATGGTAATTATGATTAATTTGTTGTATATTACAAAGAGATACAAAACTGATATTCGAGCAACGTGTCGTCAGACCTTGAGAAACTTGATGATAAAATAAGTTTATAAAGTTTAAAATAATTTGGATTCAACGACTTCTCCAAATTATTCAGGCCAATCAGGACACTGATTGATCTATTTTCTTTTAAATACCTAAGAAAACACTCAACATTGGGATGCTCAATATCAAGAGATCAACACAGTCCTGTTGTTTTGGAGACATTCATCACCTGGAAATCGGAGGGTACATGTAAAGTGACGTGGGTGTCCACCGTTTGTATGTGCATAACACTTGAGTGTACCCATCTCTTAACTGCAACTCCTCCTACACCACTGAATGAAATTCAATGAGACTTTCACTCAATCTTTATTACATAGTGCCATTGTGCAAATTCCATCTTTCTGTTTCAATCGGACAGATGTTTGGGTTTTCCCACAGCTCAACCTGGACACTGAAATTCTATAATATCGCTGGTACCTATCTCTTATCCGCAACTACTCCTATATCACTGAATAAAATTTAATATGACTTTCAAGGAATCTTTTTTACATAATGCCATTGAGCACCTCCTATTTTACGTTTCGATCGGAGATATTTAGGGTTTCCCATAGCAAAAAATGGACTTTGTCATTATACTCATATGGGAGGAGGGGTATCACTTTGTGAGATTAGTGTTCACAGTATGTTTAGTTTTACCTGTATACATGCATTATGTAAAATTCGGATCTCTGATTTTGGCCCAACCATAACCCTTGGTTCATAATTTAAACAAGAGGCCCATGGGCCACATCGCTCACCTGAGTAACTTTGGCCATGCTGTTCTTTACCAGATTCCCCCCCCCCCCCCTTGTAATACCTATTGTGGCCCCGCCCTACCCTGGAGGGTCCTGTTTGAACAATTTAGAATCTACACTACCCAAGGATGCTTCCACATAAGTTTCAGCTTTTCTGGCCCAGTGGTTCTTGAGAAGAAGATTTTTAAAGATTTTTCCTATATATTTCAATGTAAAACTTGGATTCCCTATTGCGCCCCACCCTACCCCGGGGGTCATGATTTTAACAATTTAGAATCTACACTACCCAAGGATGCTTCCACATAAGTTTCAGCTTTTCTGGCCCAGTGGTTCTTGAGAAGAAGATTTTTAAAGATTTTTTCCTATATATTTCAATGTAAAACTTGGATTCCCTATTGTAGCCCCCGGGGGTCATGATTTTTACAATTTAGAATCTACACTACCCAAGGATGCTTCCACATAAGTTTCAGCTTTTCAGGCCCAGTGGTTCTTGAGAAGATTTTTCCTATATATTTCAATGTAAAACTTGGATTCCCTATTGTGGCCCCGCCCTACTCCCGGGGGTCATGATTTTAACAATTTAGAATCTACACTACCCCAGGATGCTTCCACATAAGTTTCAGCTTTTCTGGCCCAGTGGTTCTTGAGAAGAAGATTTTTAAAGATCTTTTCCTATATATTTCAATGTAAAACTTGGATTCCCTATTGTGGCCCCGCCCTTGCCCTGGGGGTCATGATTTTAACAATTTAGAATCTACACTACCCAAGGATGCTTCCACATAAGTTTCAGCTTTTCTGGCCCAGTGGTTCTTGAGAAGAAGATTTTTAAAGATTTTTTCCTATATATTTCAATGTAAAACTTGGATTCCCTATTGTAGCCCCGCCCTACCCCCGGGGGTCATGATTTTAACAATTTAGAATCTACACTACCCAAGGATGCTTCCACATAAGTTTCAGCTTTTCAGGCCCAGTGGTTCTTGAGAAGAAGATTTTTCCTATATATTTCAATGTAAAACTTGGATTCCCTATTGTGGCCCCGCCCTACCCCCAGGGGTCATGATTTTAACAATTTAGAATCTACACTACCCCAGGATGCTTCCATATAAGTTTCAGCTTTTCTGGCCCGGTGGTTCTTGAGAAGAAGATTTTTTAATGACCCCACCCTATTTTTGTCTTTTCTTGATTATCTCCCCTTCTAAGGGGACTTGGCCCTTTATTTTTATAATTTAAACTCCCCTTCATCCAGGGATACTTTGTACCAAGTCTGGTAAAAATTGGCCCAGTGGTTCTTGAGAAGAAGTCGAAAATGTGAAAAGTTTACAGAGGGACGGGCAGACGGACGACGGACAACGGGTGATCAGAAAAGCTCACTTGAGCTTTCAGCTCAGGTGAGCTAAAAAAAAAGGTTTAATACAAATATGTTTTGCTTATGATTTGGTGTTGTCTTACAACACTTGAGAAAATTTCTTCCTATGTACTTTCTTGTAAACTCTGATCCCCTACTATAGCCTCAACCTATTCCCACAATACTTAAATCTATACTACCTGGCCCCAGGATCATAAAACAAACTTAGACTTAAGTAAAATTTTCAATCACCTGTAAAATGCATATTAATTATAAAAGTTATCTCAAAATTTGCAGATAACAACGCTTTTGTAAAGCAATATTGAAAAATATTTTAATTTTGGTCTGCTTGACCTCTACAACATCTTGGTAAAACATAAATATTTTGACGTGAGCTTTAGATGTTTCATGATCCTGGGGCCAGACGTTCTTTGCATTTCAATATTACTATAATGGCTTTGCTATTCTTAAAAAGATTTTTTGATATTTCTTCCTATACATTCCTATGTAAGAATCTGATCCATATTGTGGCCCCACCATACCCCCAGGAGCAATGATTTGAAAACAGACTTGAATCTGCTTGAGGATGCTTAATACAGGGCAAACTTCTCTCATTTTTACTACATTCTCATCATTTCGGGTATGCCTCTTAATGATCTGAAGAAAATCTGGTTCCTACCTAAATTCTTTAAAATAAATATTCAACTGTTAAAAAATATTTTAGGTTTTTTAATCATTAATGCTTTCAAAAATACACAACTGTTTATAAAAATTGCAGCAATAAAATTTGTTGATACCTCATTTTCATTTCCATAGACAATCGTGTTGCGTCAACTGGTGAAAAAAATTCAGTCAGAAAAATGTGATAGATTACACACTTCAAAAAAAGGTCTACTGATTGACAATAGAAGTTAATTGTTTTGTATTTCATATTTCATTCACTGAATACAGAATAAGTACAAACAACATTATATCATGAGTGAAAATTTCAGATCAATTCACCACACATACTACCTTAGCTTTCATCATGCACACACAAATTTCTAAAACTGTGTGCCATGAAATAAAGGAGTTTCTCTGGAAGCATCAACAGTTTACATCAATCAAAAGACATGATGACAAAATAATGGACCATGGTAAATACATACATGAATAAAGTGATGGGTGATCATGTGAAAGATAAAAGACAAATTAAAACCATTGCTTCTGTCTATAAATAACATCATCACAGACTGGAACCACTGACCATTACTAGCTTCTGACCACATGATACACAAACATGGCACTCCAACGACAAGTGTCACATGTTCCACATACACCTTCCATTGTAAGTTTTGCAGTGTTCTTTTCTACAGGACATTTATGTTCTATAAAAAGTAGTCAGGTTGTGGCTTTTTTGATGGAATACCTCTGGACTCCTATAATGTAAAACAATTCCTTCAATTACCTTTTGCCTGATTTCAGGTTACATGTACAATATTCTAACTATTTCTAAACAAAACTAACATTATGTCATTATGTGCCATGTCTTATCGCCGAAAATATAAATGGTAAATGAACTACTATATTTACTACTCAGCTCATTCCAACTAGCTTTTATTCAATTTCATAGAATGATCATAATGCCTTGTTCACATGGAGAGTTAAATTTGAAATAAACATGGAGAGTTAAATTTGAAATAAACATAAGTACTGTGAATTAAACTTAAGTTGCGTTCACAAGGAGAAATGACTGCTTTAAGACTCATTAGTTTAATTTGAATTATTTCGAATTAATTTACTGTGAATTAAATATTTCATTCCTATTCGGGTGAACATGGCAATAAATACCTGAGGTGCTGCTTCAAAAATTGTGAAATCCCTATCCAAATGTTCATCCAATTCCAGAATTGCTGCAACATTTCCACATCTGAAACAAAGAGAAGACAGTAAGCTTTGCATCCTGATTATTTATACACTTTAATAAAAAGTAAATGATGTGTATTAAACTGTTTATCTTTTGTAGGAAATCAGAAGTCTCTGATGAGACTGTTGATCTAATGGTACTAAAAACAAAGGAAGAGAAAAATAACAATTGGCACTGCAACTACATGTATGTCATTGTCATCACCCATAGAATTATATTTCCTTTAAAACATTTTTAAGATTTTATTGAAATTGGATTAAAATATAAAAGTAACTTTTTGAAAGAGTTTCACATAAATTTTTATTCTAAGTAATCATGGCAGACCATTCATTTAAATTAAAAACCAATAAATAGAATTATTTATTTCAGTGTTGCCTTTTCTATTGCACCAAGGCTTTTTATGACATTGGACCTAAACTGAAGGAGGAAGAGATAATGGAAACTAGAACTGTCCAAAAGGGACAAATACCCCCGCTGGGTTTTTCAGAGAAAGTACCAAATCACTAATGTTTTCTAGATGTGAGAGGTGTTCACAATTTCCTTAAACATTTACAGTGAAAATTTAATTACTCATTATATATTTTTATATGTCCGTCTTACGACGGGGCGTATTATGTTATAGCGTTCATGTTCGTCCGTCCGTTAGCTTTTTCATGTCCAGCTCATAACTTTAATACTATTAGGCCTAGAATTATCAAACTTTGTCAGCTGATACATCTAGGGTAGAAGGTGTGTCGCACATTAAAACCAGGTCGCTCTGACATTTAATAAAGACGCTATGGCCAAATATGGAAAAATCATAACTAGAAAACCATTAGACTTAGAATCAAAAAAACTATGTCTTTTAACTTTTAAATTACACAATCCAAAAAGATGTCAGAGTATTGCAGTATCTTTATTAAAAAAGTGTTAAATCAAGAAAATACTAGTCTTATTTTTTTCATTATGTTCTTTACAGCAATCTGTAACAACAAAAATTCCACCTCTCCCATGGGTGTAATGATCAGGCACTGGTCAAGGAAAATTTTGATGGCAGAAAATTGCATGTCAAATTAGAGAGAAATTAATGAGTTTAGTGTGAGGAGATAACTGGTAGAGCATCTCTGATCAAGCAGGTGTTATCTACATCTCTTGGGAATTGGGCAAAAGGAATCAGTCTCTTAATTAATTGCTTGTGTTGTATTGAATTGTTCTTGTTGGCTAGTCTTACTTTCAAGATAAATTTGATGTAATTAAAACTAATTTGATATTGTATATAATAATTAAAACTTATATGATATTGTATAATATAATTTAAACTAATTATTTATTGTACATTTTTTATTTGAATTTTTATATCTTTACAACAAATTGCAGACTGCCTTGTCTCGCTAAGATGTCATTCAAACAAATGAATCTATACTGTTTATGATAATTTAAAAATATTTGATGGGCGTATCATGCTCTGGTGGGGCACTCTATTTAATGAATGAAACTAAGGTGCAGCCTAATAAAACATCAACACTAATAATTACAGTGTTTTTTATTACATTGAAAAAATAGTTTGCAACTATCTGTCATCTTTGTGAGACATGACACTCTGCAAATTGATTGTTGAAAAAAAAATATCATAATTAATTATAGAAAATCAAATTTATTTTAATACCTTTATATCAAACTCATTTTAAAAATAAAAGGCTGGTTTTAGTAACTATGTATTTTCACAGACATAAATTACAATTAAGAGACTTAGACAACAGAGATCTTTATTTCTTTCTGCCCAATTCCCAGGAGATATAGATAAGACCTGCTTGATCAGAGATGCCCTAACAGCTTCCCACACTGAACTCATTAATTAATCTTTAACTGGATGCATGTCCACTCATTACTCCCAAGGGACAAATGGATTTACACTATCTGCTGTGTAATGTAAAAACTGTTTTTAATACTTTGTGTTTTTTTTAGTTCTAATGAGTAGTTTTAAGCTGTAGTTCACATTTTTGTACAGATGTTCTAGATTCTATGTCTCAAACCTTAGACATGAACCCGAAATGACTAAGTCAATAAATTAAATTAAAAAAAAAACACTTGTAAAATGCAGAAAAATTATCAAATAATGTTGAAAATACCAGGTGCACATCTTCATATGGTAAATAATAAGTGTACAAATTTTCATACAAATCTATGCAATAGTCTCTGGGAACAGATACAGACAAAACCACATAATAAAAATGAAAAAAACACCTGTAAAATGCAAAATAATTATCCAATCATAATGAAAATACCAGGTGCACACCTTCATATGGTGAATAATAAGTGTACAAATTTTCAGACAAATCCTTCCCACAGTTTCCAAGAAATGGTCTGGACAAAATCTCGTCTACAGACAGACGGACAGACAGACGGACATGCTGATTCCAATATACCCCCCTAAACTTCGTTTGCGGGGGGTATAAAAACATCACAAACTTTATATTTTCAGTAAACATGGCAACACTGTTCCTTGAAATCAAAATTATGTATCTCAGTGTAGTCTACTTGCATACCAGTTGTATTGAAATTGACTTAAAAATGTAGGAGGAGTACTGTTGCTAAAAACAGTTTACAGACAGATGCACAACAGACACTTTACAACCACTTTTAGACATTTTAAATCCATTTGCAACCAAAGAAACATTCTACTTTAGTACAGAATTATATAATTGGTTCACAGCAAAATACCTCTTGAATGTTTCTCACACTTGATTGACTTGAACAAGAGTTCAGTATCAGTATTATAAACAACATTATTAGGCTAAGTCAGAGATAAATTTAAAAAAAAAATAAAACTATTTTTCATTCTCTTTGAAACCCACTGGAAAGAAAATTTCTTAACAGGAAAGCTTTAAAAGGATTTTAGCAAAACAAGATCACTATGTGCCTGCCATGCTATGCAGGTGACACTACAAACAATCAAACAATAGTACATTTTCTTACCTGTAACAATAGTTAGGAGCTGACCATACAGTTAATACCGTCTCACTGAAGTGCCACTTGTATCCCTCCATAACTAACTGATGAGCTCGACATATAAGGTCTATACTGTTGGCTGCATTAAACTGTGCCACCACGTCATGCCCAAAGAGATACCCTGCTCCTCTTGGACTCACTCCCCAACCCTGCATATCTACACAAAAAATTAAAGTCCTGGTTTTAAGTTAAATTATCTTTATCATGTTTATTAATTTACAAAGAAAAATGTTTTTATACTGTTGAGACTTCAAGAACCTGTAATACTGTTATCTGGACAAAGAACATGTATATAACTTCATCGATTCAATAATTCTTTTCATTAAGGACAGACACATACCTTCAGGGTCAGACCATAGAAGGTCACACATTGGGCCATCATGTGGTACTTCCTGTTTCCTGTCTATTGCACGAATTTGGTCAAGTGTCTGTATAGAAGGGGATAATCCACCATGAACACAAAATATCTGTAAACAAAAAATAATAATAAAAAGATATATAAAGATAAAAAAAATCCATTAAGTGTTAATAAAACTTGGTTCTTTCATATACATGTACCTTTGATGGGAAAAGAAGCTTTGAAGCAGTGAACAGTTTCATATTGTAATAACTGACTGTTCTGTTTATCTTTTTTCCACTTTTTCAAATAATATGCATCCCAAATTTTAAAGCACTTGAGCTACAAATCTACAGCTAAAAAATGGAAATATTTGCGATTTGATATTTTTTTTTTTTTTTTTTTTTTTTGAATTTCAAACTTAAAGGTAACATTCCTTTGTCAACATTTTTTAAAGAAAATCTAATCAACTACACTGAATATAGTGAATTAAGAGTTTTTTGCATGTCAAATTTTTGCACGTTAATGTAACAAATATCTGCTATACAAAAATTTTTTTACATTGCACAATAAAAAGCTCAGATTCTACAGAATCATTAAGGATTTAGAGTAATCTGCCCATAGATAATCAAAGATTATCTCAAGCTGAGCCTAAAAGTTTCTCAAAAAACAAGAAAAACCCACTTTCTTACCTTTCCATCTATAATTGCTGAGAGGCTTAGATAGTCAAATATTTCTGTGCAGTATCTCCAGACAGTGATTGATCCATATTTTCTCAGACACTCATCATAAAATCCATACACCTGTGTAATCTGCCTGCTCTCATGGTTCCCTCGGATTAATGTAATTCTGTCTGGATAACGTACCTGCCATACAAATAAAATCAGTGTAATGGTTTCCAACTACCATAAAGTCATATGTAAATCCTTAAAACAGAGGTAATCAAAGATTACAGAGCTCACCTCAACGAATATTTACTTTAAGTAAGGCAAAATCCCACACTAAACTAATAATCTAATCTGTGCATCCCTAGATGTAACATATAGGCAATTTTGATCCATGTAGGGCTTGCAGTTACTTGGGAATGGACCTATCCTAAAAACTTAAACTGGTCAGTCATCCAGAAAAGGCAGGTCAGATCTAGCATACAAAGCAAGTCTGTTTGTGCATATCCCTTGATGCATCATAATTATATGTTTGGTCCAGGTATGCCTTATAATTACTTGGAAATGGATCTGCTCAAAAAGGTTTAAGCTGGTCAGTTATCCTGAGAGCATATTCCACATCCATTATCCGGAAAGCATATTTCACATCCAGCATCTGAAGTAAGTCTGGAAGCGTGCATCCCTAGATGTATCATCAATGCAAGTGTGCTCTATGAAGGATTTTTAATTAAACTAGAATGAACCTGCTTCAAAACCTTTAACTTGGACACTCATTCATAAATATAATCAAATCTAGTATCCAAAGCAAGTCTGGTAGTGTGCATCCCTAGATGCATCATGCATCAAAGTTTGGCCCAATTAGGGCTTGAATTTACACTGGAATGAACCTGCTGCAAAAACTTTAACAAGGTCATTCATCCAGAAAACAAAGGTCAAATCCAGCATCCATACCAAGTCTCATAGTGTCAAGGATGGGCACGATAACTGAAAAATGTAATCGATTAATAATCAATTACTTAGAGGAATTTTGGGTAATCGATTATTAATCGATTACACTCATTTTTGATAGTGTCATCACTAGATGCAAAATCCATCCCAAGCTTGGTCAAGAAAGGGTTTGCAGACTTGTCGAAATTTTTAAATCACTAGATGAAATCCCGCGCAAGCGCGGGAAATTAAATTTATACCACTACCGACATAAAATATATTATAGTTTTTACTGACAGCTACAGGATTATATCAGGAAAAAAAATCCCGCATGAAGTAGATGTACATCTCAACCCCCCCCCCTTTTGTAAAAACTCGAAAAATAACAATTTCATTTATTGACGTTTATTGTTAAACCTGTTGTACAATGTTATTGATATTGTATTTCTGATGCTCTTATTTCATTTCCGCCAAGGATAAAGCAGCGAATATGTACATTTTACTGATAAATTGATTTGGGGGAGGGGGGGGGATTAACCGGTACTTGGGACTTGGTTTGTAAATATGTATGTACTTTATTGGTAAGTAAATAATGTACTTAACTTTTACATATGAATAAGGTACATACACTTTTATAACCCAAGACCCAAGTACCTGTGTAAAAATTAGCTTTTAACGCTCTATGAATAGGCCGAGTATTCTATACTAAAGACCCTATTCAGAAAAAAAAAATGAAATGTATTGATTAAAGCACAACATTTTACAGCTTTAATTGTATTTGAACAATACCTTATTCACTAATTTTCTCTTTTCATGTAAGCAAGTTTATTTCGAAGTACAAATTGTACTTCGGGTTCGTTGCCACGATGCTCTCAGTGAGAATATACACAAATTTTAACGATTAATTTATTAGGAAAACTTACTACATATATGTAATAGTCTTTCGATATATAAATATGTTAATAACTTATAGTGTTATCAACGATTTACCATTATTTCAATGACCATTCACACAAAAGCTTTTTTTAATGTTCACGCAGCGTTTTTCTTTATAACATTGGGTTCGATGCCTTATGATGTTCTAGAAGCTTCCGTCAATATCAAGATCGGTGAATGATGAAAATATTTTGCACATTTTCCTTTTTAATCGGTTATCACAACTTATTTCTTTTATATCATTTAAATCAAGTTTTGATTGAATAATGCAGTGATGACTTTTTATGAAATATATAAACGATTGCTTGTTGTCAGTTTCATTAAAAATTGCCAGTAACTTAGATCCGCCAACCGGAAACGCCACCGTACTCACGTTTTTGCTATTTCATGGCTGTTTATAGAAAATGAAAGTAGACTTTTAATTTAATGTTCGATACTTACTATGCGAGTGAAATCTAGATATAGTTTACGGACATCATCTTGTATCTAGTTTATTCTTAGAGGAGTAAGTAGGAACTCTGGTGCAGCCGTTTCGGAGTTTATTTGCAAAATTTATTAATTTAAGTATAGATTATCAGACATTTGGTCTGACAAAGTCAAATGTTCTGTCGGACCAGTCAAAGTTTTCTCAGACCAGATACATGTACCTTATTTTGACGCTGTGAAAGTCATATAAATAACAGCTCCAAAATGCCCTGGATTATTTTCAACAGCCTTCAATCCTACAAGTTTCCTTCCTTGGGATAGAAAGTCTTTAATAAAAGACATAAATGACATGTTTTATGACTTTGCTATAACAAATTTAATTGGCTATCGTCAACACGCCGTGTACGCAGCCATTTTTTTTCTGTGTTTGTGACCTTTAGCTGCACATCCCGATCCCGACCTTTATTAAATTTGCATCACGCTCGATTTTTTTCAAACGGTCATCTGGACCGACGTTTTCTTAAAAGTTGTCGGTCCAGACAAATTTTTACCGGCCTTGCCGACAGGACCGACGGATTTCGACAAGTCTGGGTTTGAAGTTACACTGCATTAAGCTTACTCAAAAACTTTAACCTTGTCATTCATTCAGAAAAACGTAGGTCAAAACTAACACCTGAAGCAAGACTGAGAGTGTTCATTCCTTGATCCTTGCAAGTCTTGTCTGGGGAGGGCTTGAAGCTTAACTGGAATGAACCTGCTCCAAAACTTTAACCTGGTCACTCATCCAGAATACGTAGGTCAATTCCAGCACCTGAAACTAGTCTGGTAGGGTGCATAATAAATACATCTTCACTGCAATTCAATGAAAGGCATAAGGCTTTTAGTTACTTTAGAATGAATGTGCTCCACAAACTTTAACATAGTCACTCATCCAGAAAATTCAGGCGAGAATCAGCATCTGAGCATGTCTAGTTGTGTGTATCCTTATTTGTACCATCCATGCAAGTTTGGTCAACATAGGGCTTGTAGTTACTTTACAATGAACCTGCTCCAAAAACTTTAACCTGGTCACATTAACCTGGTCATTCTTTGGCTGAAAATGCAGCATCTGAAACCTGTTCTGGTACAATGAAACATACTAAAAGCATTGTCCATGCAACCCTGATCAATATAGGGCATAAAAGTACTTGAAAAGAAATTTGCTCCATAACCTTTAATCTGGGATACCAACACCAACTCCTAGGGTATTACAAGAGCTCCCCCCAACTTTGTTGAGTGGGCTAAAAATGCATACAAGACTGCTTATATACTTTTTTGCCTTAAAATTGCCATAAACAATAATAATATACTAAAATTCTTTCATCTGATAACAAATCAAACTCTTTTTTAATCAAATAAAACACATATTTTTTTTCTATTTCATCAATGATCAAGTTTCAATATAAATATATTTTACTACACAATGAATGTGAAAAAATTCACACAAACCTTGAGGGCTAACAATAACAAAAATGTTTCTACGCTGTAAAAGCCCCGATCCACGAAGTCTCCCATGAATAAATAATTTGTGTTTGGGACATCACCTCCAACTTTAAAAAGTTCCTTAAGATCATAAAACTGGCCATGGATGTCTCCACACACCTTTCAAAAATAAGCGTACAATAAATTTAATTTCATTATAAATGTTATTAGTAAGAGTACATCTATGATGTCATGCAATATGTGAGCAGTTTATCAACATTTCAAATATAATTATTGTAACATGTATATTATGCATAAATTTTATATTGAGAGTTTACTAGAACTTTCTTGACGGTCATCTTTTGCATGCAATGTCAAAACTGAAAGTACAATGTAACATTATCAGATTTATTAAAACAATGACTTTGGGGATGGGACATACCGTTACTGGTGAGTCGACTCTTTGTACATTGCTCTCCTCCACCAGAATTTCCCGAGCTCTGGCACATAATGCCTTAACCTCACTCTCTTTTATCACTTCACATCTTCTCAACTGTTCAATTTGTCTGAAAACAACATTGTGAAAATTCAAAAAATAATCTGCACATAGGACAAGCATATTTTTGTGTGCAATTAGCAATAGTTTATTGATTACTACTATTTTGTGTTTCTCTTATGATGGAGGGCAAATCAACCCAGATAAGTTCCTGCAGAGAATTCAAAGGAAAACAATACTCTTTTAAAATATAATGAACTAAAGGCCTTTCTTTTAATAAAAGCACTTTTGAACTACAACCATAATCATGATGATGACCAATGCGATAATCTACAATAAGCCGTTTGAAGAGGTAATTCTATGTTATAAGTGTATATAAAGGTTTTTAATTTATGGTATTTATAGGGGTGAAACGATACACCTCCTTCACGGTTCGATACGTATTGTATAATTTTGTCTCGGTTCGGTTATTTTCGATACGATACATTTTGATAGAAGGAAACAAATTCTACGTTGTTTCATGCTTTCTTTTTCTAAATCTAGTCACATATTTTACGAATTTTATTTGCAAATTGACTAGAAGAAATTGATTAAAATTATTTTACTGTCAAAAATTATTTTACAAGCTATCAGTCATCAAAAAATTACGTTTTCTATACTTATTTACACTGAGTAACGTGTTATACCTTATGCCAAACCCGACTGAATAACGATCCCGACCGAAAAATGAACCGAACCGAAAATTTGAGATTTTGCACCGTGTATCAAACCGAGAAAAAATACCGCGGTGCATCGATACCGCGGTGAACCGTTTCACTCCTAGGTATTTAGTAATAAATACAATAGCACTTGCCCAACAGTCAACCCATCAAACATATCAAACAGTGTTACAAATTTTCCAATGAAAAAGGCGAAGATAAAAAAAAACAATACAAATCGAAAACAGGTCAAAGATATGAACACCTGCAACCACCAATAGATGAGATGATTTATTTGAGAAGTGCCAAATAATGAAATCTTTACTTTAAACATTTATGATCTGATATTCTTACTCAAATGAAACTTACCTGTCTAAATCACTGGTCATTTTTTTTCTACTGGAATTGGTGAACCTGTAATAAAAAGGGAAAAAATTGTTCATAATCTAAATTTCATGTCTCTTAAAGATCTCTTATAATACATTTGATTGTGTCCAATTAGCATATTATTTTTAAGATTGCATGGTTTAACTTCAAATTACAGCATCAATACATCGGTTCATTTTCCTCAAACGAAGGGTGACACTGAATAACCCATTATTAAATCCTCGTGAAAGGACTGTTCAATTAATGAAATATTAAGAATATAAAATTTATGCCATGAAAAAAGTAATATATGTACAGTGTGTAGTGTTTCAAAGAAATTGGATAGTTTGGCTTGCAAGTTACGTGTTTGGACAACGCTAGTTTTTCTGGGTGAATCACGATGAAAAATGAAAACATGAAAAAGGGAATCGATGTTGCTATCTTATATACTTTTCAATTCATGACTTCATACTTAAACATAGAAATGTATGAATCACTAAGAGGACAGATAACAGAATATTACGAACCAGTCGCGACGTTCCCAAACCTTTCTCTTTGACGTCACAGCCCTAATCTCGAAGAAATCTCGAATAAACGAGATCAATATTATTTTTTCGTTTTTTTATTTTGTAGGCTATATGAAAAAGATTATATTATCTTTTTATCATAAAGAATTCATTATTACTATTTTTAATTATTTTCTTATCAATATTTTTTAATGTATCATAAAACCATTGACGTACAACTCATAACTTTCCGAAAAAGTACGAGTTTCGATGTTTTTGTCATTTGCAATCAAAATTTTGACAATTTCTATTATCAATGTTCTTGGGCCTCTAAGACAAAGTGTGATATATCATGTTGGGGGTGTAGGGTTTTTTTTTTGTTTTGTTTTTTTTTTTAGATAAATTTTAGATAAATATAATTTTGCTTTATGTGCATTTTTTCATTAAATGATCATATTTATTTACGCTTGATTTGCATTTAGGGGCTGGGGTTACATAAATTGTCGTATCACCCAGCAGAGATTGTTCGATTCCAGTGGCGGATCCAGGAATCTTGAAAGGGGGGGCGACCAGTTTGGGATCGGGGTAGGGGCCCACGGCCACACCAAAAAAAAATAATGTATTAAATCTTATGTATATATTGGACACAAAAGGGGGCGGGCCCCCTGGGCTCCCCTCTAAATCTGCCAGTGCATTCTGCTCAGTTTAAAACGGATGATGAATAATTTTAAAGGAATTGGGAATTCGGAAATAATAAATCTACCTAATCACAGAAGCATATAAATAATAGGGTTACAGATTAATATAAAAAGATATTAAACAAATTACCTTTTTCATGCATTTTTTACAAACTTGTTAATAATCTACATGTATATACGTGTGATTAAAATTTTGACTGATGAGTCGTTAAAATATATCAGTGATTTTTACAAATACACTTATATCGGGCACTGCCAACACTGAAGTCTAGTGTACATGTATGTGAAAACTATACAGATACAAATTAAAGTTATATATTTATCCAACATTTTTTTCAAAAACTGTTAATGATTGTCTGTTAATTTCCAAAATCAATTTCACCCCCCCCTTTTTTTTTCTACTCGATCCACTGTAAGATGCCTTTTTTAATTAATTCAAAGTTAATCGTTCAGTTTTTATGATACATTTCTTTTGTTGGAGTAGAAAAAAAATATACATTCTGAATGATATTACCTAATTTTTATTTAATTGTCAAAGATTTCTGTCCCCTTGCTAAATATATTTCCTCAACTATGTCTCCACCCATCCCACCTTTTGGTCAAATACGTAGAGTGTGTAATATGTGCAATACCATTTTAGTATAAATATATTCGTAATGTACGTAAAACATTATCTCGAATGAATGTGAATGGAAGGCGGCGTAAAAAAAAACAAAACAAAAAACAAACAAACAAACAAATGTTGCCAAAGTGGGAGATATGTCTATACTCGGCCATCCTCACAGCATATCAGGGGGTACTGAGTCCACTCATGCTCACGAGACCCCTGACGAACTTCATTCAATTTATTACGGGCAGACTGCACATAACCACATTAAACTTGTAGGTGACAAACAACCTATAAAACTTGCATATATATATTGAAGTGTCAACTGCTTGTAGTTAAACACGTCTTTTTTGGTCGACTTATGAGAGGTCCGATTTGATCGGTGTTTTTCAATGAGATTACCCCCCCCCCCCATTTTTCCATAGCCTATCTTTTACGGTTAATATAGCCGGTATGAAAATGGCATTGAAAGGGCGGTTGTGTCCCAAAACTTTTTGCTGCAATAATCAAACCCTCCCATGTAAATGTAAGTATAAAAAATAATTTTGTTTGGAAAAGTTGGAACCTCCCCCAACCTTTTCCCTTTAATAAGTTTGGCAGAGGGGCTTGTCTTCCGGATTGTTAAATGTAAAATAAATTTTAAAAAATTTTGAATCTACTTTAAATACACTTAAAAGTTGTTACAATAAAGATTCAGACACTTTCAGTCAAGAAAAAACACGTTTAAAAAACACGTACCACACATATATATACATAAAGTTTATGTATACAGGTGTGGTACATATTTTTTAAACGTGGTTGTTCTTGACTGAAAGTGTCAGAATCTTTATTGTGACAACTTTTAAGTGTATTTAAAGTAGATTCAAATTTTTTTAAAATTTATTTTACTTTTAACAATCCGGAAGACAAGCCCCTATGAAGTTTGCAAATAAAGGCAGAGACGGGGTGAATTTCACTTCAGTATACATGTATATGACAGAATATAGTGTCCAGATAAGGAAATAAGAAGATAAGACCAGGAAATACTTAAATTAGAGTGTTTATTTTTATCAGAAAATTTTATAATTAAATAGAGAAAAGTATCTCCTGTTGCATGGTGGAATGTGGTCTATTATACAAATCCATTTGTATTTTTTTTTCTGTTTATTATTTTCAGTTCAATACATAATTTCACAGAATAGCGGAGAAATACTATATGGCACATGTAAACACTAAATATTATTAGTTGTCAATAAATTGAAATTGAAATCTTTGTTTGTTTTATTATTTGTTGCTGTCAGGCGCGTAGCCAGCATGGAAATGAAGTGTACGCAGAGAACGGCAGGGGATCTGGGAGGGGGTACGTTAATTATGTTCCCCAAACGAAGTTTGGGAACATATTGTTTATACTCTGTTTCTTATTAAGTCTTCCGTTCACAACGGAAGACTTATAGTGATTGTATTGTTTCTTTTTATTAGGGTCTTCCGTCTCCAACGGAAGACCCTTCTATTATTCTATTGTTTCTTTTTCACTTTTATTATTATTAGGGTCTTCCGTCTCCAACGGAAGACCCTTCTATTATTCTATTGTTTCTTTTTCACTTTTATTAGGGTCTTCCGTCTCCAACGGAAGACCCTTCTATTATTCTATTGTTTCTTTTTCACTTTTATTATTAAGGTCTTCCGTTTTCACGGAAGACCTTATAGTGATTCTACTGTTTCTTATTATTATTATTATTATTATTATTTTTTTGACCAAATTTTGTGCAGGCGTTTTCTCGAAAACTATTCAGTGGATTTTCGTGAAACTTTCAGGAAAAATTAGTCATTGTATGAACTTGTTTCATCACAAGGAAAATTTGGAAAATTCCATTTTGGTTCCAAGTTACGGGCAATTTCCTGATTTTAAAATGAAATTTTGTCCGCGAATGTTCTCAAGAATGACTAAAGATATGAACTGGAGACTTATTGGAGAGCATAGAACGTGACTTCTTAATTTGTGGAATCACATTTTCGTTCGTCGTCGGCACTTCCGGTCGCTTCCGGAAGTGATCAAAGAAATCGTTAAATTTCAACTTTCCTTTTTTAAATCAATTCTTACATCACATTATTGCATCTCTTTTGTATTTTTGAAATATGTTAGTCCCACCGGAAACAAAAACGTCAACTTCCGGTTATAAGAGAAAAACTACATAATTTGAGTATTTTTCTTTCCCATTAATATCTTTTGTAGATAAAGTATTTGGAATGAATTTTAAATATGTTATTCAGACTATAAATGTCTAGAGTAACCTCAAATATCTTTCAAAAACTCACTTCCGGTCGCGTGTTTTTCTGTCCTCAAAATGAGAAGTTTTCTGAGCAAGATCTCGGAAACGGTAAGAGATTAAGACACCAGACTTATATGAGCAACAGACCTTAAGATGTAGCCAAAACCAGTTGGGTTCAGAGCGTCAGCCGTCACTTCCGGTCGTCACAGGAAGTGATCAAATAAATCGAAAATTTCATCTTTTCTTTTTTTATTTAAAAATTGCATCACTTTATTGCATCTTTTTCACAGATTCGAAAGATGTTGGTCCCACCGGAAACAAAAACGACAACTTCCGGTTATAAGAGAAAAAATACAAAATTTGAGTATTTTACTTTCCTATAAATATTCTTTATAAATAATGTATTTGAAATGAATTTTAAATATGTTATTCAGACTGCAAAGGTCTAGAGTAATCTCAAATATCTTTCAAAATTTCACTTCCTGTCGCGTGTTTTTCTGTCCTCAAAATGAAAATTATCTGAGCGAGATCTCAAAAACAGGTAAAAGATTAAAACACCAAATTTTTATGAGTAGCAGACCTTGAGGAGTAGGCAAAACCATTTTGGTTAAACGCGTCCGTCGTAACTTCCGGTCGTCACATGAAGTGATCAAAGAAATCGAAAAAATTTTAACTTTTCTTTTTTAAATTAAAGTTTGCATCACTTTATTGCATTTCTTTCGGTGTTTTGAAATATGTTAGATTCCTCTGGAAACAAAAACGTCAACTTCCGGTTTTATGTGATAAACTAAGTTATTTCGATATTTAACTTTCTCATAAATATTGCTTATCGATAAAGCACTTGAAATGTTTTTATGCATTTTGTAGATACTGCAAATGTCTAGAGAAACGTCAAAGTTTTTTTATAAAATTCACTTCCGGTCGCGTGTTTACCTGTCCTCAGAATTAGAATTTGTTCACACAATATTGCTTGGCAACAGTAAACGACTGAAGTCTAAAACTTTCAGAACTGATTGTCAGTCATCAGTTTATTTGAATCGCGAGGAAATTTTGTATCGCCGTTACTTCCGGTCGTAACAGGAAGTGATGCAAAAAAGTGAATAGTTAATGGTTAGCACGTTGGATTTTCACGCTGACAACCAGGGTTAAATCTCCAGAGTGTCTGAATTTCTTTTATCACTTTTTCAGCTTGAATTTACGTTTTTATTTTCAAATTCGGACGGAAGACCTCTCATTGCTCGCAATGAGTTTCTAGTTATTATTATTATTCTTTTTTTTTCTTTACAATTTTTGTGCAGAAGATTTCTCTGAATTGGCTCGATCGATTTACTTGAAAATTTCAGGGAAGATGTATCTTTGTCTGAACCTTATACGTTTTTCTCATTTTTTTGAAATTCACTTCCGGTCGGAAGTTATCGCCCTTTAATCAAAATTCAGAGGACCTTCTTGTCTGCAATGGAACTCAAAAACGATTAAAGCTAGAGTGCTGA